GCTAGCTTACTTTCACTCCCAGCCACTTTCCCTGGTGTGCTTTGGAGACTTATGATTGAACTTGAAATTCAACTAGCCTAGAAGGAAGCTCTTGCTTCTCAGATTTTTCTAAATTGAGAAAGTAACCTTACAACCATAATTCTTAGCACTAAGGGCCCAGAGAAGGAAAATGACACAGCGGCTCAGAGCCAGAACTCAGACTTTCTTATGTGTGACCAGTGCCCTCTCTTCTGATTCCCAGAGCTTCTTGGAAACACAGTGCTGCTCAGGCACTGCTCTTTGAGTCTGTCAAGTTCTCATTTTTCTGGAGAAGCCTTATTTGCCCACATAATTTTAAGATCCTGTCATGTGAAACCTAGGTGGATTATCTTCTCTTTCAAAGGGAACAGAAATTAAGCAAGTTTGTACTGAAAGTCTGTTACGTCCCAGGCATGATGCTAGCCACAGGTCAAACTGCAATGAACAGGACACACAGATCTTACCTTGAGGGAGCTTTCAGAACTGCTGAGAGTAATGGCAGCTAATGCTGTCACCGCATTTACTCCAAGTAGCATCATCCTAAGTATATGAGTTCCTATTTTATATGACTGTTACTATGCCTAGTTTATAGGTAAGGAAACAGGTACAGAGACACTCAAGAAATAAGTGTCACTGCGGGATTTGAATCCAACTTTAGATAAGTAATTCTCAGTGTTGATGACTACTGTTGAAGGGGAAGGCAAGGTGCTGTGGGAGCTTGTGCTAATGTGATTTCACCGTATCCAGGTGGTTAGATACATGCGTCGAAAATGAAGCTGCTACTGACCCAGGCAAGCGTTCTCGTGTATTCAAAGGCTACAAAGTAGAAGGTCCAAGGACCAAAGTCAACAGTTGACAGCTTGTTTGCTGTCTGTCTGAGAGTCCTGTTTTTAAAATTGTTGAATTTGAATACTTTTAGGCTGAGCACTCTCTCTAGTTTGTTGTCTTATACTCAGTTCATTTTATTCATGTCCGTTTAGCTTCCTTAGGCCTGACCGCTGTGAGTTTGTTATCCTGATAGATCTTTTCTGGGATCCATTTCGTTTTAATTAGAAGTCTCTTGGTTGTAAGCAGGAACACCTCAACTTAACCTTATAGACAGAAGGGGTAACTTACCAATAGGCTGCAGGTTCTTTTTACATAACTGCCAGAAGGGTGCTGTTGACAGCCTCAGGGGCAGTTGGAACCAGAAACTTGGTGCTGCCAAAGATGTACCTGCATGTCTGTTTGACTCTTTTCAGCTGCAGACTCGCTTCCTCAGCATGGTTGCAACATGGCTGCCAAAACCTCCTAAACCTCCCTGCCAGAAAGGGGCTGCCTTGCTTCCCTTGGGTCCACTTTGGGAAACCCACAGGGTGTTTTCATATGATTCCACTATCCACCCTTGGACGGATTACTGTGGCCAGACAGACAGAGCATTTTGCTTACCCAGCTTTGAGACACAAGTCAACCAACTTTGCTGCCATTATTATCGATTATGTAGAGTATTCCCAGTGTTGCCTTTGATGTCCACCCACTGGAAGCTGCCTCTCTTGATCAGAGTAATTTGCCTGGCCCATAAAACATTGTCTTTCAAGAGCTCATAGCACTTGGCTGAGGATTATAATACAGTGCACACAGAATGTGTCAGATCAGATTGTTTCATAAAATGGGATGACCTTTCCTCACTGCTTCCTCAGTCTTCATACTTAGGGAACCCTGTGTAAAGTCGGCACTTTAGAATGTCCCAGGACCTCAGCTCTGAAGGACCTAGGAGGAGCTCCTTTGGTGCAGTAGTTGGGAGATTAGCAAGTTCTGAATTTATGTTTAAACACAAAGGAAAGTGAATCACCTGAGGTCACTGCAGTGGCCAGTGCCATGAAACTTTTTTCCTGTCCAGGCTCAAAATAAGCAGGCATGACTTGTTCTGACCTAACACTGACTCTAAGATGGAGTCACTGTGTTGAGGCTGAGTTCTAAAACTCCTTTGTGTGTTTGAGAAGAGGTGGCAGCACTTTTCTTTCCCTTGTGGTTTATTCCTCACTGAAGGGCAGCGGGCTCTAGAGCAAGAGGTGTCTGGATTAATTTCTGACTCAGCAAATACTTTAGCCTCTCTGTATGTCAATAATGTCAACTCTAAAATGAGGATGATAATAGTACCTAACATACAGGTCTGTGGTATACATCCACATTGAAAATGTGTAACCTACCAGTAAATTTTAGCTGTCATTATTATTATCATCATTGTCGTCATGTACCAGCCCTGTTCTTCAGCCCAGAGGTTTAAGGTTTAATCAGTATAAGAAATGGAAGGGTGTGTTGAGCCAGGTGCTTTTCAGAGCTCTGATTTCCTCATCTCATCCTTCCACATTTTTGAGGACAAGAGAAATGGAAGGAAACTTAACACTTCTCAGGCAACTGCTCTCTGCATTTGAGATACCCCTTCACATATATATCATTCAGTTGTAATTCAAAGTTTTTCATAATTTTTTCTCTAATATTTGTCTCACTAGATATGTAAATGCCATAAGTTCAAGTCTCTGTTAGTCTTTTTCATGGCTGGCACAGAGTAGATGCTCAATAAGCATGTGCTGAATTCACCTTTGCTTACCACCCCTTGTTCAGGTAGCTGTTACTGCATTCTTACTGTTATAAAAAATGAAGGTTTTCAAGCACTACTACCGCAAGTAATGGAACCAATCCGAACCCAGATTTTTCTGGCTACTGTTCCAGAGCCCTTTCTTTTTATTTACAAGTACAAGTGATGATGACAAATTTAACCAAATTAGTAATATCTCTATGTTATATGCAAATTGGGTCTTTAGCTGGGGAAGTCAGCTCCTTTGTTCTACTGTTGATTAATCTGGGTATAAGCCAAGTAGAATTGCAGACCTGCAGTATCATTTTCAAATAGAGGCACTTTTTGCTCTTCTGAAGGCCATTTGATCCACACTGGAAGGAATAAAACCAACGGTTTCCATTTATAAGGCAATTTAGAACCTTTATTCTAAAAATTCCCATGAGCACCATATATTGACCTTCTCATGTCATCTCTCTTTTCAACTTTGATCCTTTAAAGAGGAGGACACAGAATCACCTTCACCCAATGTCCCTTCTTTCATGCCTGGCTCTGAAATCCACCTAGGTATATTTAAGATTTAAGTTTCCAAACTTTGACTCATATAGCACAAGCCCTTTATCAAGCTCTTATTCTATTCTACTATATGTTGAAGAAACAAATAAGACAAAAAATAAATAAAAGTCAATCCTATTAGTATATGGGAGACAGACACATACATTTTTTTTAATATAATACAATGTTTAAAAAGTAGTGATAAAATAAATTGGTCATGTTATGGAGAGGACACCACCGGGAAGCCCAGGGAAGAATTAGGGGATGAGGCAATTTTAAAATTCACTTTATGTCCTATAATCTGTTTAGGAACAAAGGTTTTTTTTGGTTTTGTTTTTTTTAAGGCCATGGGTGGGGGAGAAGAGTTCTAGAATCTTTCTTCCATTTGAGGGAAATAAGAGGGAATCTAATTGAGACATGGTTCTCGTCCTAAAGAATAAGATTCAAGTCGGCATCTAAGGGTAGTCAAAATTCTCCAGGGGTCCTAGGCTGTAGTCTCAGTATATTGCATGGTGGGATTAAATCTCTCAGGTTGTAAACCAATAGGGAATTGATGAGACAGGATGAGATTGTAACCTAACCTAGTAATAATGCATGGCGGGGAATAACCTGATCATTATCTACTGTATTGTTACAAATATCATGGAAGCCTGTTGAAGAAAGGCTATGTCAATAGTCCAGAAAGGAAACTAGGACGGAGGTGGGAGTGGGATGGGGGGTGTCAGTACATCATCATTCCCCAAAGGAGAAAGTGCCCTGTCCAGGTAATTGTTTTCACTTTTTCACTGATCCTATAGTAGAGTTAGGAACGTGGGTTTATCATAGGTTGATTCTATTTACTATCATCATTACCATCTTTATTAAGTATTTGTTATTTGCCAGGTACCAGACTAAGTGCTTTTCATGTATAGCTCCATTTAGTCCTTCCAACATCCCTAAAGTCTAACTACTCATCTTTTCCCATTTTATAGATAAGGAAACCGAGGCTCGGAGAGGTCAGATAACCTGCTCTTAAGTCAAGGAACTAGGGTCACAGACTCCTAACACTCTGCTATACAAGTTATACTTCTCATCTCTAAATAGCTTACCTACCTGCCATCTGTGTGCTAGACCTGCCACTCGGGTGTCTCTCAGACATTTAGCAAAGCCAGATGAAAGAAATCCTTTCTCCTATCCAAATCTGTCTCTCTCCATGTTCCCTGCCCTGTTCATGCCAAATACAGGAGTTCATGCCTTAGAGGGAACCATCAGTTTCCACTATAAATTTGCCTGTGAAAAAGGATGGGATATGGTGGGAGGCAGACATAAGCATTCTGGTCAATTTATCATTGTCATCATTTATTTCAATTAACTTCCCTTAGCTATCCATCAGTTTCCCGTGTGTTTTGGTGCTTTACTTCTCTCCTGAGTCTGGACGCTGCACTTCTCCATGAGGTTCAGGGCTAAGTTATCTTTGAATCTCCCAGTATTTATACAGAGTGTACTCTTTGCCTCTGATTGAATATCTAAAGGGGGAAGAATTCTAATATCAAGATTTGAAACCTGAAATGACTTAATATTGAGTATAAATACAGATATAGGAATTACTGGTGTGACAGAAATAGAAAAAACTGGCTGAAATGACTATCAAAGGATATCTGATAGGATTAAAGCCTCACAGATCTGAAAGGGCCAAGAAAGCATTTGGAAATGACAAGCTTGTGTTCATTTCTGAGAGTTAGTCCAGATGAATGGATAGAACTTGTGTGCCCGGTGTGTTGGTCATTTTGTAGGAGATCGAGGCCCTGTTAAATCGTGTTTGACAGCTAAAGTCAGAAAGTGCACTTGAACCCTACAAAGCTGCTTACTGGTCGTATCTTTCACATTTCAGGAAGACATCTCCCAGGCGGTTGGCCAAGGTGTGGTGGCAGAGCAGCAGAGGACACTGGAGTGCCCAACTGACGACGTACGTAACTTGCACTTTAGGTTTTGCTCTACTGGCATGATGTGCATTATAAACAGGTTCCAGAAGAAAATGAGGTGATTGCAATGTAATCAGATCCTTTATATTTGGCAGGAGGTTATAGTATGTCTTGCAATCTAAAGTCAACCCACAACTGTATCACCGGTTCTGTGCAAAGTGGGTGGAAATATCCTCTGTACATTTCCCAGTACCAACACCCTAACCAAGTGTTTAAAAATGAAGCATCCCTGAAAACACGCTTGCACTTAAATTCTGAGAGCACCATGCTTTACATAATGTCATAAATAAAAAATATATACATGGGAGAACTTGTACTTAGATAAACTTTAGTGTTCCTTCATTTTGAGTTTCAACTTCTCTTAAAAACTGGAAACTTCAGTCTGTCAAATTGTTATACTTTTGTTGCTATTGAGTTTTTTCTTGTGTTTTTTATAAGTCCTGATTCTCATTTCTATGTGCTAGTTTTTACTTTTGTGCTGCTAAAATTTAGTATTACTATGTCAACTGTTTTTATGTTTAAGGAACTATTGATTAGAGCCTACAGAAAATATATGCTATTTCAAACCTTACCAAAGAAAATGCCTTTGAAAAGTCTCTAAAATTATATGCTTAGGACCTAAATAAAAACAAATAAGTGTAGAAAGAAACTTAAAAATAACCAAATTCAGTTCAACTGAAAACCTGTAAGCAGTTTTTTCTTAAGTTTAAAACCAGTTTTTTTACTTTATATAATGTATTTGCAAATCCAATTTATGTGTTAAGATTTTATATACTGCCACCTATCTCAAGACACATATCAAGCATGTCTAAAGTTTTATAACTATAGAATTTTAGAGCTGGGGCAAATCCTAATCATCATCTGGCCTTTCTTTCCTTGCTGAAAAGTGGCAATTTATTAAAGCCTTATCCTTTGGGAAAGTGATTAGAAGCCTTTTCTGTGGCTGCAGAAGAGAAATGGCCCCAAGATCAGTGGGCAACACCTGCAGTGAGACTGTGTCAGCTCATTATGAAGAAACATTTGGGCTGTGCCAGGATGGAATGAACTTCCTTATAGAAATGGAATTTTCCATCCCTAAAGGTTTTCAATCAGAAGTTGTCTGATCGTTTATGAATATGTTATCAAAGGACGTAAAAACATGAATAGCTATTATTAATTGAACTCCTAAGTTGTTCTTGCACAGCGTTAGGTTTTGTATGTACTTTTCTCTTTGATCTTCACAACAACCGTGCGAGGTATAGAGGCATCACCACCAATTTACAAATGAGGAAGTTTAGGTGTAAGGAGATTGAGTGACTTGCCTGTGGCTACCAGCAAACTTAGCAATTCGTATCTTCTTTTTTTATTATTATTATTATTAGTTTTAGGAGTATAAAACAATGCAATAGTTATACTTTTCACCCCTCACAAAGTGACAACCCCCTCCTCCTTTTGAGTAATTTTTTCCCCTATCCTGAAGACCTGATGAAGTGTAGACCCTTTCCCCAGAAAAACACTAGTAAATATAATTTTGCTACAGCCACAGAGGTTTTATAATTCCCCAAATTCCCTCTGTGGATCTCTTAGAAACCCATTTATTCTGGATTTCAGAATCCATGGTTTAGGAAACAAGTCTCTCTCCAGATAGTTTTCACAAAAATCAAAAAAGGAAGGAAAGAAGAAAAGGAGCGAGGGAGGAAGGAAGGGAGGGAGGTCTCTCAACAAAAAACAAGCATGAAACATGCCTGAGCTCCACATGCCTAGGTGCCCATTTATTTGTTCTAGGATGGGGTGCCAGCACTCATAACTATTAAAGGCCCCCTAGCAGTTCCTGTTATGAAGATAGGGTTGAGCATTACTGGTCTAGTTAGGTTGGATGACTTATAAAGTCCATTCCAACTCTCATATTCAAATATAGTAACATTCAACAGCAAATCCAATCTTTGTTACCTTTCATACTTAGTAGGTTGGTTTTGTGTCAGTGGGTGAGTCGCGGGAGCACGTGGTTCATCCATCACCGCACCTACCAACAAGAGGGTCTGCTTCTAAATATACTTGTTTGGATATTTCCCTTGGTTTCTGTGCACTGTTCCTTTATTTTTTAGTTGAGTGAAATTCTACCCATGTCTGTTGGAAACCGATTATGCAAAAGGAAAGGAAATGGGATGCTACAGGGAGCTTGAATATAAAGATGAGGAACAAACATGCCCTGCTGTTATCAAAGTCATACTATAGCAATTGCTGCCTCTTGTGCTTTCCCGTTTTAAAATTCACACGCTTTTTTCATAAAAGAACTCTGTAGCTTGCACTCACCTTTGTTATTGATGTTCTTTCTTGCGATGATAGAAAACGGAAGTTGGACATGAATACTGTATGAGTTCAGATTAGGCTCAATCACTGCAAGAAGTTTCTCTTTTACATAACAGTCTGAGTGTGATCTGTTCGAGGGTGATATGGTATCTACATGATGTCACGAACCCAAGCACTTCTTATCTGACTACTATACCATTCTTTATTTTAATGACTCTATCATCCTCAAAACATGGCATCCATTTTTTTATCTAAGATGGCTGCTTCAATAATTAACATCCCATCCACTTTCCAGCAAAGGAGAAGGGGAAGGCAGGATCCTTCTCCTTAAGAGAATGATCTGAAAATTACACCGTTCATGTCTGTTTATATCCCATTGACCAGGAGTTAGTCTGTAGATACATCTAGTGTCAAGGAGGCTGAGAAAGTTGATCCTTATAGAATAATCAGACATCTAGGTGGTTCCATCGTTCAGTGTTCTTCCACTTCTCTCTTTTTAAAATTATTGAAAATACATATTCCAATAAGTCTTTTTATAAGTATATAGTCATTATTAAAAGATGATGATAGAAAAACTACAGAAAAAAAGTAAACATGTGTTCAATTATTGCCTAGCAGCTGTTTGACAAACACTTTAAACTCACAGCATTCTTCAACTACCAACTTTTAGTCCTTCCTCTTCCTCTGATCAGCTGTGTGATTTCAAATATATCACTTAACATTTGTGTCTTGTTTCTTTATCTGGAAAAGAGTGTAATATCATCTAACTTTCAAGATTGTTCTCGTGATTGAACAAATTCATGGGTGTAAAATGTTTTTAAAAACTGGAAAGCACAATACAGATATACAATAGGCGGCATTGTTTCAGTTGTTACATATGACACCATGCCTTGTACTGGGGCACAGCCTTTCACTGACAGAATCTTGAGGTGTTATTGTTCTGGACCATTTACCTTGATCCTATTTCTAGGCCCCAGGGACAGCCTGGTGCTTCACTGCCTCCACCAGAATCTTCCAGCTGGGGATGGGCTCCCTGGCTAACTACAGATCCAGAAGGCAGGTCAGGTCACTGTCTATATTTATTAACTGCCTGTTATGCAAGCATGGAGTCCTTTTAGTATTTCTTAGTTTTCTAATACTAATATTCATTGGAGCTACCATCCACAAGAATCCAGAATTACATGTTAATTTTCTGAAGCTCACTAGCAAAGGTCTCTGTACCTTTATTGAATTACAAATTCATTTCCTGCTCTGAATTTCCATGTCTTCAGTTCTGCTGTTCTTTATGCCTTTATTTACTCGCTCATTCATTCATTCATCAAACATGTATGGAGGCCCTACTATGTTCCAAGCACTGGGAACCCAAGGTGAATAAGTTCCAGTTCTTTTAGGTGAGTTAAAAGTGATTGGTGTACCCAGCATTTAGTAGGCCTTCTGTAGATGTTTGTTGTTCCTTCCCGCCTCTCATGTCGCTCAGTTAACCTACCTAATGCATCATGGACTATTGTAACTGTGCCCAGGAAAGACGGACCGTGTTGTTTGCTCCGAACATCTGTAGCATAGATTCTTTTTCAGTGGGCACAGCACAGATTTACGGACTTCGCATTGATTTCATCAGAACGAGTAGAAATTGTAAAAATTTTTGTTTGGCTTCGCAGCCTCAGCTTCACATACTGACCACAATGATAGAAATCTCTTTAGTTTTTATTCTTCTTCCCTTCCTGATCCATTCTTCACCATAGCATTTTAGATGTAAAAATCAATGGGAAGCATGGGGAATGGGACCAAAATCATCCTAACTCCCTCTTGTTTTCTCTCCCACTCTAAGTTCTTGAAAGGCATTGTTGGAGTGCACCACTGTTTTGGGAACAGTACAGCAATTTTAAAGTCTTCTCCTCTTTGACATTCACTGAATTTTCCTTCCTTTTGTAGGCTGTCAGCCAGATGAAACAACAAAAATATTCGACAAAAGTCTCTTTCAGCTCACAAGAGATACCTTTAGCACCAACTCCATCATACCATTCAACAGATGCAGACTTCACAGGCTATGGTATGATTTCTTTTTATGAGCAGAATTGAATTGACTCATCAAACCTTAGAAAAGCAAGGTATCATGATATCCTGAAAAGAGCACTGGACTAGGAGTCAGGAAGTTTGGCTGTGCACCCCTTCTCTACTTCTTTAGCTTTGAGACTTGGGCAGGCCACTTTGCTTCCTGCACCATTTTCTTCATCTCTGTCACTGGCATTGCCTATTGTTTATGGAATATAAAAGTACTACAACAGAACAAAAAAGGCCCTCAGTAAATGCTGTTTGAATCTGCAGCTTACAAATTATTCTCTAATCTCTCCAAAAGACTGTGTTTATTTCATGAGTAATATTTCTTAAAAAGCACATTGAGCCAAATTGTTAGGCTTGCGTATGTTGATGTAAGCTATTTGAAGACTGTTAATTTTCAGTGCTTACAGAAATTGGTATTCACTTTCTCTCTTTCAATTCCTGGCTTGAGTTATGACGACTGGCATTTGAAAATAGAACTTCAAAATGAATAATGAGTATTTCCATTTTGCTTTTATGCAATACAAGTCAGTTGCAGGAAAAAAAAAAAAAAGACTGTTTAAAACACCATGCTCACCAGTGGCGAGGCATAACACTGCATGAATTTAGCAGGCCTGACACCTTATGGTATTTGTCTTTTACATGTTTTTTTTATAAATATTAACTCATAAAAAAATTTAGCAAGCAGGTATTATTCTAAAGCACTGGATTTTTACTAAAATACCTATTTTAGTAAAATGTGGTCAGTGCAAATTATGACTTCTGGGTCACATTTGGCCCACCATCTATTTTTATATGGCCTGCAAACTGCAAATGGTTTTCACATTTTTCAAAGGTCAAAAAAAAAATCAAAATAATGTTTAATGAAAATTATGTAAGGGCCAGACGAGTGGCTTAATTGGTTAAGAGCTCGCTCAAGAGTGTGAGCTCTGAGCAACAGCGGTTCGATTCCCGGCCCGAGCTGAGCTGCTGCTGAGCTGCCAACAGGTGGCAGGATGTCTCAGTAAAAAAAAAAAAAAAATGTGATCACATTTCAGTGTCCATAAATAAAGTTTTATTGGAATAGTCATTTGTTTACGTATTGTTTCTGGCTGCTTTTACTCTATAAGGATAAACTTGAGTAATTGCAAGAGAGATTATCTGCCCTTTAAAGCCCCAAATATTTACTACCTGGCCATTTACTGAAAAAGTTTGCTAACCACAATGTGGACCAACTGAGTTTTGATAATATATATCACACATTTATACACTGATAACAGAACTTAATCATCCTATAATTTAATCTGTGGAGATTTTATTCAGTCAGTCATCTACTTACGAATCCTTTATTGGGGATTTGGTATGCACGAAGCTGTAGGCTGGAGTCTATGGGAGAAATAAATGCCAAGACTGACTCAGGACTGGCGAGGGGGAGACAAAAGTGAGGGAGGGAGGGAAATGCCATCTGCAGCATCTCTTACTGTGTGTCCGTCCACTCTTTTCTCACTCAAGAGACTAAACTGGCCATTTATAAAAGGACGATAAACTTTTTAAAGCATCCATGAAATGGTGCCACTGGTGTACCTTGTTTTTATTGTTAGTTAATGGGAAGTGAAGAATGAAATACATATGCTGCAAAAAGATCTAGAGACAAATTAGGTTTCTAATATTCTACTTCTAATATAGCATTTTTTTATTGTTACTGAGGTTGTGTCACTAAATTTCTCACTCTTAACCAAGAGGCCATTAGATTAATAAATTCCATGTGGTCAGGAACAGCAAATTTATGAATGCTACAATACGCCAGACCCTAGGTAGGGTCCCTCACACACATGTAGTTCCTCTAACAGGCTATTAGATGGTGGTTACAGCATTTTACTGATGAGGAGTGAACCTCAGTTTTACCCACCTATTAATTTTCTTCTTGGGAACTCAAATCTATTTCTGCACCACTCCAAAACCTGTGCCCTTTTGTCACAAAGACTATGGTTATTACCTAGTGAGAGCTGAGCCCCCACAGTCTTACCTAGAGCCTGTTTCCTTTTGTTTTATACCAGGAATTGGCAAACTTGCTCTGTCAAGAGCCAGATAGTAAATATTTAAGGCTCGCGGGCCATATGGTCCCTGTTGCAGCTACTCAACTGTGCTGCTTTAGTGTGATAGCAGCCTTAGACTAGATGTAACTGAAATAGCGAGGCTGTGTTCCAATGCAACTTTTTTTATGGACATTGAAATTTGAATTTTGTATAATTTTCACATGTCTTGAAATATGATTATTCTTTTTTTTCTTCAACCTTTTGAAAACATAAAAAACATTCTTAGCCCTCAGGCCATAGTCCTCTGGCCCTTGCTTCTAACATAAGTAGGTTCAGTGAGCTTGGTGGATCTCAACTAGGCCCCTGTACATTTACTGCAGCTGACCAGTAGGGGGCACTCCATTATCAGCCCTTTACTAAATGATATCACAGTGTAAGAATCAGTACTCATGATGATCAAACTTTGTTATCAAAAAAATGACGTTCTCGGGAGACCATTATTTGTATAATAGCTTCTTGAGAATAACATTTTGAATTTTTGATTTTTCAGTGGATTAGTTTCAGTCATCTGGAAAATGCATATACGTAGAATTTATGCCAGATAATGGGTATAAGTAAACATCTTTACTTAGCCTGTAAATCTTTCCTCCTAGTTTTTAGAGAAATCCAGTTTAAAACAATGGTTTTAAAAAGTAAATCTTTGTAAAACAGCAGTAACACGTTTAACAAGCTTTTCACTTATGGAGTCAGCAATTAATTCTTGAATGTTGTGCTTATAACACACTTTTTTTTCACTGTGTACACTTGGGATAATTTTTAGGTAATTGCTATTTTAATTACATCATTACTTTATTGATTAAATACTTTATAAACTTAATTCATATGATATACTCTAATTGAAAGGATTTAAGCACTGAGGATAAGTGTTTTATAACTATAACTCAGAATCTTCTGTGAGACCAGTCTTTATTCTCATGAAAACATGTCTATATGTACTTAATCATTTAGTCATCTTAACATTTTCCATACTAGTTTTCATGGTGTACTTTAAGATTTAAAAATTTACAAACTAAAATGGATGATTTTGGAAGTGGGGGTAGTTAGTGCTTTAATCTCAAAAAAGGGTCGTAGGAATATCATGTTTCATCCCTGGGTACATGGGCAGTAATGACCCAGCTTTTTGCTTCATGTCGCTTGGCAGGAACAGAGTGAAATGATAAACACATGAAAACAGTGCGCTCTCCTAGTGCGGAGTGTGCAGGCTGAGCGTCCCCGCCTACTTCCCAGTCATTCTGTGTTCACTCCTTCTCCAGGTGGTTTCCAGGCTCCTCTGTCAGTGGACCCTGCCACGTGTCCCATTGTCCCTGGCCAGGAAATGATTATAGAAATATCCAAGGGACGTTCAGGGCTTGGTCTCAGCATTGTGGGAGGAAAAGACACACCCTTGGTAAGTTTCTAGATGTAAAAAGTATATCCGCTGTCACAGTTAGTTTGGAGCCTCATTATGGCCACGTGTCACTGTGTGGAATAGTAGGTTTTTTTCATGGTGTGGGAAAAAATAATATAATTATAAATGGGTATGTGTCTATATTCTGGTCAGCTTTCAAATTTTTCTCACTGTTTAATATTCCCCAGGATTTTCTCCATCTAGGATGTTGAATTTGTTTTATAAATGCTTTTAGACCATTAACATCACAGCAGCATTTAGAAATATTATAACAGTTTTTAGGATGGTGCCTGACATATAACAATGTGTAAATATAAGTATGAACTATTGTTATTATCATCATAATTATTATTTAATGGAATGCTAGATAAAAGTATACATCATTTATTCCAGCCCAACAATTTAGGCTTTGCTTTATTCTGACCATGGTCACATCTACTCAAAATGTTTTTGTTTTTCTTAATTGGGGAATTGGGGGAGGGGAACAGTGTGGGGGAACACTGTTGTTCTTCAATCTTAGTTGTGGAGGGTGCCAGTCACCACCTAGCTGCCCATCAGCAGCTCCTGGCCTCTAAGCTCAAGGTGCTGTGTTACAATCTTAGTTGTGGGTGGGCGTAGCCACCATCTCATGCAGGAGTCGAACCAGCAGCTTTGTTGTTAAGAGGGCATGCTCTATCCACTGAGCCATCCAGGCGGCAGCTCAGCTCAAGATGCCGAGATCAGTCTTAGTTGCAGGTGGGCACAGCCACCATCCCATGCAGGAGTCGAACCAGCAGCCTTGTTGTTAAGAGTGCATGCTGTATCCACTGAGCCATTCAGATGGCAGCTCAGCTCAAGGTGCTGAGTTCAGTCTTAGTTGGGGGTGAGCATAGCCCACCATTGAGCAGGCAGTCTTGATGTTAGGAGCACGTGCTCTCACCACCTGAGCCATCCTGCTACCTGTTGGCAGTTCAGCAGCAGCTCAACTCAGGCGCAGCATCACTGGCCCATGTGGGAATCGAACCGGCAGCCCTGTTGCTTAGAGCTCACGCTCTTAAGCTAACTCTTAACCAACTGAGCCACTTGGCCTGCCCCTCAAAATATTATTTTAAAAATTGGTCTAGAATGTTAGTTTTAGCTTGGATAATAGATCTTTGATTATTTAGTACCCTTTAATTGTCACTAATCAGTAGTGCCATTAAAAAGTAAAACTTCATGTGTTTTGATTTACTAAAAATAAGATACTCAATGCATATATATTTGAATAGGTAATACATGCACATTATACAGTTAAATTGACACAAAAGTATATAAAGTGAAAAATAAATACCCCTCTTTTTGCCCTAACCTTGCCCTCTACCCCTTCCCCCACCTCCAACCAGGACCTCTCCCTAGAGACACTCACTCTTATTAATGAATATGTTTTTAAAGGAATATTTTGGTATTTCTTTTGCCTGTAATATTTAGTAAGGAATATATTGTATATGCCAGATTTACAGGTAAAAATAAGTATTATATGATCAGTAAAATAATTCTTTCCATTTTGGGCAGGAATATAATGTTTTTGTGTTAGTACTATTTAGGGATGAGGAGATCCTATTCTATTTTTCTGTAACAAATATTAACCCCCTAACGCACTAGGCAACTCAAAAACATCATACGAGTGCGCTACAGAAACCTGGGTCTTACTGCTTTCTACATGTTTCCTGATCTCAGACCTTCTCTATCCTATTCTCCAGCCTGACTTAGAGAATCCTGGTGTTCAGTTTGACCTTACTCGTGAACCACCTGACCCTGAATTTGCTCAGAGGCTGATGTTTATTTATTAAAGGATTTCATCTCCTTCAGCTTGATTAAAAAGATGGGTTACAACTTTTTTCCAGAGTTCAGGATCATTTATTTCCTGAATTATTCTCCCTTTGCCTGTGCGGGCAGGAACTGCTGTGTGTGGCTTCCTGCATACACTCTGATGTTTTTTCTTCAACATGGATGGAACTGGGAACACGTGGACTTAACTAGCTCAACAGCCAGTTTTAGCTCCCAGCCTGACCATGGATCTTTGCCTTACGTAAGGCCCCAGAACGTGTCTACATTTCTCATTGTCTGCCTTGAAATGCTATCTGTTTGGCTTTTATTATTGAGAAAAGGGGTAAACTCTCCCTTAATTTTCTCTTCAAGTGATTTGGTCTAGGCTATGTTTTTTCTTATTGTGTTTTTAATAATGCCGTCTAGTTCCATGTGATCTGGTCTTGAAACAGTTCATAGAAACACTTGGGCCAGCACTCCAGCCAGCTCCTAACATGGGCAGGACGTGATACACCATCAACAAACACCACAGCAGACCACTGTTTCGCAAACGGCATATACATTCCAGCCCCTCAGATTCTGGTCCCTTCCCCTCCCCCAGAAATTAAGATTCTGTACCCCCTCGAAGCCACCCCGCTGTCCTGCCTGGCCTCTTTGGCTTCCGTGATCTCACCTCTCTCGGCTGATCTCCTCCCTTTTAGCTCTCAGTCATATTTCCTCTACCATTTAGCAGCTGGGGCAGGCTCTTGAACCTCTCAGAGTCTATTTCCCGATCTATGAATGGAGATAGTAATACCTTATAGAACTGCTAGAGGACAAAGATATGACCATTATCCAGTGTTCAGCGTGCTCAGTGGTATGTAGTGAGCAGTTGCACATGACTCGTACCTTCTCCAAGCCTCAGTTTCCACACATACTAAGCTTAAAAATCCTGACTCACTGGGTTGTGGTGAGAATCAGAGACTTTATTAGAAGTATTGGGTTGTTGGAAAAGTCATGACGCATTTTTGCAATGAAAAACATAGAAAAAATACGTCATGACTTTTTCAACAACCCAACAGATAGTTTTATATGTATGGAATTGTTATTCTAAGGCCGTTGGGGGAAACATTCAGAAAGGACTGGTTGACCCTCAACATTGGGGGTGTCTCCCTTCCAGGGCCAGTTTTCTTATTTTCCCGACGAGGTGTTCCTGAGTGTTAAACAGTTAAATCTGTATAAATAAAGCTATATTTGAAATGAACCAGAGAAATTTCAGTTTTAGGAAATTCTGTCCTGAATTCTTCCATAAAGAAAAAGTAACCCTTTGATTTATTTACTGAAACTATAAGCCTCTTTCTACTGTTTAAAATAAGGCAGAGCTAGATTTCCCATTGGAAATCAGAAGATGAATCAGCATTTCTGGCCTAGCTGAATGAGGTTGTTAGCTGCTTTTTTTTGCTTTTGTTGTTATTACGATTTTGCTGTGTGTGGGTTGGTGAGAAAACCTGAAGAAGGCATGCCCACTCTGCTCTTGGGCCTTTAGTATCGCACATGCTTCTGCAACTGCCCGTCAGCTCGAGGGCTTCCACTGTCCAGCGTCACCTCCCGCGCCCTGGGCATGCGGCTGCTTGCTAAATACTGTGCTCTGTCTACTTCTCTTGCCAACATGAGGCAGCCAATAAAAAATAAAAAATAAAAATTCTTTAAGAGCATCTTGAAGTTTCCTAATATATAGTTCTGCCTTTTGAGACTGTAAATCCCGTTGTCCTTGGAAGGATAAGCACCACTTAAAAATGAGAAATGGGACACAGCTTTTATTTCCTAACCTCAGGTACCTCATCAAAAGCTGTAAGTTACACTCACGATACTATATACGCATGTGGTTCTGGTGAGGCTGAACAGTGTGGGGTGGAAGGTGCTTTAATAAATAAGACCATTGTTTACCACCATGAAATCTTTATTTTTTTATTTTCCCCCCCCCTCCAAATTTGGACATGGAACACGCAACCTAACTGACACTACAGGTCACATCCAGTCAGGTCCTGCGAGAGCATCCAGCCAGCAGGAAGTTAGAAATCCACCATGAGCGCATAGAAAAGGAAACGGTGGACCATGTTGAGACCCATGGTCAAAAGTGCCTTTGCTCTTGCCCTTGCACATTTCATTATGTGACACATCCGTACTTCCGCTCTGGTGCCGGGGAGAGAGCTCGTTCCGCGTGCTGGTGACCCTGCTTGAGCATCTGCTCCGATCCTCCCAATTAGGGTTTCCATGCCCTCTTTGTTGTATGTCCAACAGATATTTTTGCTGTCTTTAGAGGAATTAAGCCTCTGGGACTTGGTCTTGACACCACATCAGTCCTATCTGCTATAAATAGTGTCTCTGGAGCCAAGACAGATGGTTTCTGAGATCACAGAGGGAGATCTCACTTACCATCCCAATGTACTTGCAGAAGGTCATCTAAACAGACCTTTTAAAATACCGAGATAATGAGGAGGGCGAGCCTCCTGGGAAGGTTTATGAGCACACCTGGACCCAATCCACAACGACAAACTTCTGCCTCTGTTGTTTTCATCTTATGATGTGCTCCCAGGTCTGCCTTTCGTGAATGTGGCTCTCCTGTGATAGGTTGCATATGTTTGCTTAAAGGCTGCCCTTTGCTTAGTGCTGAGGATACAAAATTGAGTGAAAAACCCTGTCTTCAAAGTACTCACACATTCGTTCAAGTTGCTTCTGCTGCCTTTAATGTTTATGGTCTAATATAGGGAATCAGCTAATGAAAAATAATAATAGGGACTCTTAAAATAGGGACTTCCTCTGGAAAGAAGAAAAAGTAGAGCTGTTGTATGCACTTTATAGATTTAATTAATGTAGGCTAGTTTTTATATGTTTCTCATAAGCCAGTGTCTTAGTCCATTAGGGCTGCCATAACAAAATACCACAGGCTGGGTGGCTTATGAACAATAGAAGTTTATCTCTCACAGATCTGGAGGTTGAAGTCTAAGATCAGCGTGCCAGCATGGGCGATTGAGGACCACCTTCTTGGTTAGAGGATTCTGGTATCTTCACATGGTGAAAGGAGCAAGGGAGCGATGTGGAGCTGCTTTTATAAGCTCCCTAATCCCATTCATGAGGGCTTTGTCCTCATGACTTAATCACCTTATAACCCCCCCCCCCCCCCGCCTAATACCATCACGTTGGGCATTAGGATTTCAACATATGAATTTGAGGGG